GCCCAAAGCGGACGTCATCACTCGCCCCCCCCACCCCCCGAACCTCCCCCACCCCCCCACGCGCCGTCTCCAAAAACTACACAGTAGCTTTACAGTCGCTTTGGTTGGAAAGACTTCGAACCAAAACACGCGGACATAACAAGATCTCCAAAAACAGAAAAAGATTTCAAATTTTCGTTGCGAACGCGAGCGTGCGGCCGTAGGCTAAGCCCCTCTCCAGCCTTTGTATTTGCGAGTTTCTATTCGGTGCGTACAGACTTCTATGAAAAGCTTTGAAAAGATACGATCCTGGCTGCGACAGGAGCCCTGCAACAGGTGAGGACAGATGAGGTGGCCTGCCCCCAACCACTTTGCGTAGACATGAGCAGACGATCCTTTTTCAGCTCTCAGGCTCTGCGAAGTTTGAGTAGAGCGGACTGCAAGACCTCGCCTGTGAGAGGCTTTCGCAAGGTTTGTTTCCAAGCCGACTGTGAGATCCGCTCCTTGAGTTGTTGCCACACGCAACAGTGGTCGTCCATGTTGCCTTTCGCCTTGGAACATTTACCCAGCCATCGGACAGCCATGTACGATCGAGCTTTGTTCTTGGACTTTCTTCACGGGCTTCAGGTGAGTGACGGACTCGTGGCGAATGGATCGGCGAGCACACGCATATTTTCATGACTTGTTGCCGTCTGCGAATACGATGCTCCGGTTTTTGCGTGTGTCGATTTTGTCGAGCAGCCCAAAAGCCTCGAGCAGAGCACTTGTTTCCGTGATCGGTCGATTTCCGGGCAAACAAACCACAGGCCAGGGCACATACACGAGAGGAGGGCAACCTCAAGGTTGAGCATCCAAGCACATGGAAGAAGGTGCGGCACGAACATAGTGGTGTTGTTGGTGGTGCTGGTGGTAGTGTAGTGTAGTGTTCTTGTTGTTGGTGGTGGTAGTGGAGTGGTGGTGGTGGTGGTGGTGGTGTTGTTGTTGATGGTGGTGTTGTTGTTGATGGTGGTGCTGGTAGTGTAAAGTCGTGTAAAGTGCACGTCATCCACACATGTACGCTGGCATTCCCCCTTTCAACCCCCCCCCCCTCCCAAAGCAACTAAAACCATTCGAAAGCAGAGGAAACCACGTGTACAGATACGATACGCGCCACGCTCCAACTTCTCTGTAACGCTCGGTCGGACTAGTCGGTTTCCTCAGGCTTACGGAAAAATTGTCACGGAAGCAGAAGCTTTGACAGCGCACTCTGTTTTGGATGCCGATGCAGAAACGTCGGGAGTCGGTGAGACAGACTCGGAAAGAAGGCAGAAAGCGCAGTCAGAGACCGGTTTCCGAAAAGCGGGGCGGTCGGACCAAATAGCGTCAAGCCGGATGCTTGACCCGTCACGGGAGCAGCTGCGACTGTTGGGGTTTTTAATTCCGTCGCTTCGGGAAAAATTTTCTTCGGGGAGACATTATGCTTTTTCAATTTCCTTCTTCGTTTGTAACTCCCCTGAAGGGAACTCATCTGGCTGACTCTTTCTCGTCTCTCGGAGAAGAGGATTCAAGTCTCTTTACCTAATCTTCTTCGCTTATCAGTCTCTTAAGCGACTTGGTGTGGCTCCGCTTTTTTGCGTGTCGGAGAACACATGCTTTCTCATTTTTTCATACTAGAGTTATATAAGAAATTACTGCGAAGCCAGTATATTTCAGTACATTGTCCTCGCTCGCTTTCCATCCCCCACGGCGCAGTATGCAATCGGCAGCGTGGCAAGGTGATCAAATCGGGCCAAATCTGAGGGCACCCAGTTCTGAAATCTGGGTTGAACCTGGATTTCTGGCAAGGCAGCGCGTTCCATAGAATTGCCGAACTCGAACGGGCACAGCTGATTTTTGAGACGCTTCCTGGCCGTTATATGCATGTGTGTGATTGCGATTCTAGTTGCAGTCCCAGGAACGGGACTGCAATGGACTGCATACTCACACAAGCGCTCGAGCCGCATCGTTGTCGCTGCATTGCGGTGCTTTGCCAATCTCAGATGTTCGGTCGAAGAAGAAAACTTGCATGATGTTGCCGCCAACCGTTGCTTCGGAATTTTAGTTTCCTGTGCGCATGCACCACTGCCGCGTTGCGCTTCGAGGGCTTCAGCTTCCGAGTGCGACCGTGTGCCACACAACTTTTCGCGAATCCTGGGCGGAGTTGCCTTGCTTGCGCGTCGGCGCGGGCAAGCAACCTGGCGCTTGCTGCGAAAGCACGTTCCCCTGCCCGCAGGGAGCTTGAGTTGTTTGTTTTGGGCTGGTGGCACATGGTCCCCAGCATTACCGGTCCAATCGATTCACGTCCTCGGTGCCACGACGGATGCTCAAACCGAACTGTTGCCGCAAGCAAACGGGGCTCCAACATGCTCCAACTTTTGTGCCAAAGCTCGGCCGAAAGACGTCGCAACACACCGCCGACTGCAAGCGCATTCATGCGACCCTAGAGAAGGACGCACGTGCTCGTTGTTGGTGCGGAAATGCTTGGCTGCGGAACTGTGAAACAAATCCGTTCCACGCAGCTTTTGCGAAGGTCACGAATTTCATGCGTTGACATTGCACTGGGTACTATTGCGTGGTTGAGATTAACGGATATTGCCTAATGAATATGTTGGCTGGCCTGCTTCGGCTGGCGCAACCATACAAGTACAGGAGAGGAGGGCGAATTACGCACGAACAATCACAGTTGGAGCTCTCACGGGGCTGATGTCGTTGCAGCCGGCCAATTGTGTTGGCATGAGCTGGCCATGTGGTTCGCTGCCTTCGGCTTCTGCTAGCTCGTAATGACGATGTCATCACCCCATCGACTAAAAGCGGTGACCCTGAGGCTTTGCTTTGCTTTGCGCCCGTTCGAGTCCAAGACTACCGTCCTAAACGGACATGGGGAATGTCACGTCAGGAAAAGCATATGCACGCCTAAGATATGAACAAGCTTTGCAACGCGCGCCATTCGCGCGACGATGCAACACAATCAATCCAACTATTTCGGTCAAGGTGAGTCGCAGCGAACATGTTTAAATCATCATCCCAGCGCGTAGCGGGACGACCAGGCTTTCGGCTCGGCTTTTCACTGAAATTATGCTACCATTGTTCTGTTGGTAACCATGGCGCGAGCACGCAATGACCGAACGAAGGGCAAAAGTTCGTTTCCTGGAGCGGGGCGCGTCGTGCTGCGCAGACGCCGGAACGAGCAGGCGCGCATTTTCGTGCGAGACCGGGCAGGTTGACAGCCAGCGGGGCCCGCGCAGCAGTGTCCACCGGTTGGGCGAGGCGCTGGTGGATGCTGGTGAAACATGTTGTCAAGGGGACCCGCTAATGCCAGGATCTCAAACGCTGCGGTCCAGTGTCGGGCCCGCAGTTTGCACATCACCTCACGCAGCTGGGAGCAACGCAAGGGACGTTGCGACACAGGCGCATTTGCGACGGCGAGCGGTCCGGACCTGCAGGCCACCCAAGATCCGATTGCAGGGGCTGCGTCGCTCGTCGCTGCTGCAGCGGGCGGCGGGCAAGTGGGAACGGCAGCCGAGTCTGCTTCCGCAGTACTGGTGCCGTCGCTGCGGCGAGCAGCACTGGTGGTCGCGCAGTGCCTCAAACATCGCTCACTCGTCGTCCGCGGTATGGATGGTGCGGGTCGCCGATTCGCCAGCAGCTTGCCGATGCTCACATGTTGCTGCGGGCAAGTATGTCATGCTCAGGTCGTGCCATGCCGCTCCACGAGCTGGGGGCGGGTGTGGCGCTGTTGCAATGGCGGGGCAAACGTCAGTACGGGCGAACATTCCCGGGGTCACAGCTTCGCGGCATGGCGGCGCGTTGGATTGGGCGCTCGGCGTGGAAGTACTCGAAGGGCCGGGGTGGTGATTGAATGAATATTAAACTTGACATAGTTACCTATGTCTTGTATGTTAAGTTATAAATCAAGCAAGTCAAGTTACAAGTTGAGTAAATATGCTATGTGGAAAAGTATAACTTATTAAGTCACTAAGTGTTGAAGACGAGTTAGTAAGTCGTATAAACGATCACAGGACTTAGCTATGTTATGGGTGCGACTTAATAAGTGACTTACAAAACCTCAGGTAAGTAACTTAAGTGAGTTATGGTATGCATTTATCAGCCAGATAATAAGTTGAATAAGTTAACATGGTCTCTGCCCAGGAGATGCTGGAATAAGGTTTTATGCACATCCAAAAAACCAAGGATGCAAGTTTTTTTGCTGTGCTCAAGGAAGAGAAAAACTGGCGAAGGCAGTAGACAACTTGACATAAAAAAAAAAACACATTCTTTGGTCTCAAATTGGAATTCCATGCTGGTGGGAATCCATGCCTGCAACAGAGATACCCACAGCACGTTTTGGATCTTGTTGTTCGTGATTCATGTGGAAGCTTTGAGTCTTGCGGCCTGCTCAGTCAAGTTGTTTGAAATGACGCTTCAAAATCAGAAAATCAAGGCAGGCAAAATGCAAAGTTTTGCCAACGAAGCAGGCCACAACGGCGGTCAGAAAAACAAAAAAAGCCTTTCATTGGCTCCAACAAAAAAAACTTTGAGAATGGCATGTGGCCTATAAAATTTTCTGGAGTCTGAAAAAAAGAAGCCGGACACACACCACTGTCAAAACATCACACCCCCAGATGTGCAGTCTTAAGCTAACAAACTTTGCAAAGGACACGTTCGTCTAACAACATTCCAAGCTCATGGTCAAAAGTTCAAAAAAACTTGGGAAATTTTCTTGCACTGAGAGGCACTGTCCTGTGCAGCCAAAACGAATCTAAGCTTGTAGGAGGTGTGTCTTTGCTAACTGTTTCTTTGGTTGGTAAAGCACATTCCAAGCCAAGACAAGACAACAATGATGCACAAAGTTCTCGAAAGTCTTTCTTAAATTCGAATAAAACTTTAAACGAAAAACTTGTGAGACAAAGCACAACAAGAAGAGATCTTCTCCACAGTATCTGCTGGAATGCGATTCCACATGAGCTGCGATGCAACAAGTTAGCTTGATTCGATGGGTGAAACTCCCTTGGCTGGAACCAACCCGTGGCTGGAACAAAACCCTTCCTGGAACAAGCCCCTGGCTGGAACAAGCTCCGGGTTGGAACAACCCTCAATAAAAAAACAG